TGTGAATCGTATCGAGTTGCATCGCAATATGTCACAAATGTATCGCTAATATATCGGATCGTATTCTTTGTATCGAGATGCGTATCGGATCGGCATTATAGCTTAGATGCCCAACCCTAATATATATATATATATATATATATATATATATATATATATATATATATATATATATATATAGTTGATGTCAGAATTATTAGCCCCCCTTTGATTTTTTTTTTTTTTTGTTTTAAATATTTCCCAAATTATGTCTAACAGAGCAAGGAAATTTTCACAGTATGTCTGATAATATTTTTTATTTTGGAGAAAGTCTCATTTGTTTTATTTCGGCTAGAATAAAAGCAGTTTTTATTTTTAAAGTTAAAATTATTAGCCCCTTTAAGCTACATTTTTTAATAGTCTACAGAACAAACCCTCATTATACAATAACTTGCCTAATTACCCTAACCTGCCTAGTTAACCTAATAACCTAGTTAAGCCTTTAAATGTCACTTTAAGCTGTATAGAAGCGGCAAAGATAAAATAAATCAGTTATTAGTAATGAGTTAATAAAACTATTATGTTTAGAAATGTGTTGGAAAAAATCTTCTCTCCATTAAACAGAAATCGGGGAAAAAATAAACAGGGGGGGCTAATAATTCAGGGGGGCTAATAATTCTGACTTCAACTGTATATCCTCACCAAACCATTAAAACAACATGGCACTTAAGATTTTAAATATAAAACATAGTAATTTGGTAATACAAAAAACATCACAATAAAGACAACACTGTTCTCTATGAAGCACAATGTGTGATTTCAACATAATTCATTCATTTTTAAATAATTTTCCTGCATTTTCTACTGAATTCTCATTACAGAAACATGTCCGTGTATGTCTGAATGTGTATTATGTTGTAATTTAAACAAATCAGCATGAAAATTTCATCATAAACACAAGTGAATTGATCTAATAGATTGTTTTACATGACAGAACAAATATTTTACAGGATATTTATGTATAATAATTATAAAAAAATGCTGAAAAATTATGTGTTCGTGACAGATGTTCTCATCCTCCGCAAGTACTGTTTAAACACACATAAAGAGTTTAAATAAAGTTTTATTTTAAAAAATGGAGCACATGGGCCAATTGTTTCAAGATGGCTGCCAGATAAGAAGATAGTCAGGCCTGAAATTGAGTAAATAAGTTCTGGCTTAACTATTCATAAGTAATACAGTAATATTCCTGTCAAATGCTTAATTATTAGACCTCCCCCTTCCTCCCTTTCTCTTCCTTTCTCTCTCTCTCCCTCCCTCTCTCTCTGCTATGTCTCTCTCTGTCTCTCTCTCTCTCCCTCATATCTTAGGGTCAGACACTGACCTTGATGAAAGCAGTAAAGTGAAGGCTGGATAGACAGAGTGGTCTCTCTCCTGGCAGTTTGCCTTGATTTGGTGCAGTGCACGAGAGACAGCAGGTCTGTGTTGTGGCCATTCTCTCAGTGAGGGCTCTGCCAGGTGGATGGCACAATGCCCAGGGCACTTACACACTGATCCTACATCACTCTCCCTTCACCCTATTTATGGTGGTAGACGCCGACTTTTAAGCCTATATAAAATGCAATGAAGTCTAAACACTCCATTTGAAATATTTCAGAAATCCAGTAAAACAGAACATGCCAAACAATTAAAGCTTGTGCTAACAGTGCTATAAAGGCGCATTTACAGTTGAAGTCCCTCTTTTTACTTTTTCCCTAATTTCTGTTTAATGGAGAGAAGTTTTTTTTCAAGAAATTTCTAAACATAATAGCTTTAAAAACTCATTTCTAATAACTGATTTATTTGATCTTTGCCACGATGACAGTAAATAATATTTTACAAGACACTTTTATACAGCTTAAAGTGACATTTAAAGGCTTAACTAGGTTAATTACGTTAATGAGGCAGGTTAGGGTAATTAGGCAAGTTATTGTATAACGATGGTTTGTTCTGTAGACTATCAAATAAAATAGCTTAAAGGGGCTAATAATTTTGACCTTAAAAGGGTGTTTAAGAAATTAAAAACTTTTTTTATTTTTATGTTTTATTTCGACTATATTCTAGCCGATCCAATGGAAAACGAATTCCCTAAATCTGTGATATGATATTGTATACTTGTACCCACAACACTTTCACTTTAGGGCACAGCCGTGTAAAATGCAAATATTTACCTTCTTCTATACCACACCTGAAGCAGAGGTGAGAATGTGTGTAAGCTAGTGTAAGAAATTAAACTGGATTAGTCTAAATCTGGAGTTTAAAGTTAAGATAACCCCATCTTTACATAGCTGACCCCACAGGTCATTCTCTGGTGTTATCCCTAATTTCTGATCCCATCTAGTTTTAGGGTGCTTTCACACCTGTGAATCGATTCATTTGTTCCGAAACAGGGATTCAAATTGTTACAATCTTTTACAATCTTTTTTACAAATTGTTGCTCTTTGGTGCGGTTCGCTTTCACACTGCTAAGTTTCTAAGCGGA